CCCCAAAACCCCAAAACCCCAAAACCCCAAAACCCCAAAGAATAACTTATAAATAGAAATTAATTAAAACAAACTATATAGAAATTTTCATAATGGATTCAGGGTCTGCAAATAAGCATAATTTAAAAGTAGTAATCCGGATACGTCCCATGTTGCCAAGAGAGGTCCAAGAGGGCTATGAAGCTACAAGACTCTCTGTAACCAACAAGAAAGAGGTAGTCCTAACTTTAGACCAAGACAAATAAGCAAAAGAAAACCTTCAAGTTTGATAAGGTCTTTGGCACAGAGACAACGCAGAATGATGTTTTCGAAGGTGCAAGGATTTCTCAGCTAGTATCTCGAGTAACAGATGGATACCATGCTACTATATTTGCCTACGGTCAAACCGGATCAGGTAAAACATTTACAATGGAAGGCTATGATTACAAGAATAAAAATGATGGAAGATCGAAATCTAAAGCTCCTGTTATAAAAGATAACGATAATATTGGAATTACTCAGAGAGCAGTAAGAGAGCTATTCCAACAAGTAAAACATAAGAAAGAAAAGACTGGCACACATATCTCTGTGTTTGTCTCTTATCTTCAGATTTACAGTGAGAGAGTGTATGATTTACTCAACCTGAACAACCTCAACCCTAAAAAGAATACCAAAGGCCTCCGGATCAGGTGGAACAAGAAAGACCAGTTCTTAGTAGAGAATCTGTTTATATTTGAATGAAAAACTGAAGAAGAGGTTATGGAGCTGTTTCATTTTGGACTAAAGAATAAGATTGTTGCCTCACACAATCTTAATAGTCAGTCTAGTCGCTCGCATGCAATTTTCACAATTACTTGTGAAAGCGTAGACCCTGGAAACGGAGAGAATATTGTTACAAGTAAATTACAACTAGTTGATCTTGCTGGTTCAGAGAGAATCAGTCTTACAGGAACAAAAGGATTAGCAGCAAAGGAAAGTATTGATATCAATAAGTCTCTATTCGTACTCAGGAAGGTAATTATGTCACTGTCAGATTCAAAATAAATCAAGCAAAGATAAATCACATATTCCTTACAGAGATTCTAAACTGACATCTCTACTGAAGCAGAGTATTGGAGGAAATTCTTATTGCTTAATGATTGCTTGTATTGCCCCTTCTGATAGATTTTTAGAGGAAAATATTAGTACTCTGAATTATGCCACCAGAGCATCAAATATTAAAAATGCTCCTACGAAAAATATTGACCCCAAGATAAGAGAGATCCAAGAGTTGAAAAAGAAAAATAAGGCATTGCAACTTGAGCTTCGTAATGCAAATCTTCATATTGAATACCTTACTTCATTAACACAGGAGGAATTACAAACTTTTGGAACGAATCTGATCACAGAAAGCATGCCAAACAATATTACCCAACCGACGAAAATAGATACTTCGTCACCGGTGAAAACCCGAGGGAATAGTCTGAAACCGATAGCCCCTACTGTACCGATGGTTGGGTCTAAAACCCAGACCATGGGGACATCTCTTGGTACTTCTATCGGAGCTTCCATTGGAGTATCAGTAGGAGCATCAATCGGAGTCTCACAAAGCACATCTAAAATAACAACTGGAGGAATGTCAACACAGACAGAAAGACTGATGCCTCCTTCTAAGAAGAAGGTAAGAAACAAGTCCAAAGAGTTTCTCTCCAAGGTTGAGAAGAGAGAATCCATCGATGAAATTGCTAAGAGGAAGCAATTCGAAGATAAAATGCATATGATCACCAGTGAAATCAAAGGAATGAACATGAACAGAGATAGCACAACTAGTAATAATTTTAAAGATGCGATGACACGAGTCACCGACCTTTTGAAGGTCAACCAGATGCTCAGAGATGAAACTAACAATAAGGAAGAAATCATTAAGTATAAGAATATCGAAATCTTTGAGATAAAAGATGAAAATGAAGAGCTTAGAGATAAACTAGAGCTTATGGAAACCATTGTTAATGCAAATAGGGATACTTATAATGAGTATGTAGCCTCTCATCTTGTTCAACAGGCTGAGAATGGAGCTACTGAAGAATATATGGGATGTGAAGAAGGAAAAGTACAAATAGATTCAGTCTATGTCGAGCTTCTTGAGCTCAGACGGATAGTCAAGAAGCTTGAAACAAGGAATAAATTCCTAGAAAAGCAAAACATGGAGAATCAATACCAAATGCATTTTATAGGAAACAATGAGCCGAGTAGGCCAATTATGAATAAGGGTGACTCAGGGAAGAAGAAAAATCTTCCATCCAATACTAACAAACTACTGAAGAATAATTCAGTTCCCTTATTTATTGAACCTAAGAATCCTTATTTGGCAAATAAATCGAATAAGAAATCTAAGAATAAAAAGTTAGCCAACTATAAAGGAATATCAGATGATGACTTCTTTGCTTCATCTACTCTAATGAGGAATGGAGATTACGCCATGTCCAAAGACTCATGGCAAAGAGTCGAGCTAAACTACAGAAGGAATAATTTGGGGTCTCCCATGATTGCCCTGAGCAGTAGTGGACTTAGCTCCGACAGGGACAATAAGTAATAAACTTGATAAAGTGACTGCTACTTTAACCTTCTTTGGACTTTCTTTTTTATAGAAGATACTAGTGCTTATATATTCTTTGCATAATATGCTAATTCTGATCTAATGATCAGCTCAAAATTCATAGAATCTATTCAGCATAATATTCTTCACAAAATGAATTGCAGAATATATAGTTCAATAAATGAAGGTAAATAAGGGGTTTTGGGGTTTTGGGGTTTTGGGGTTTTGGGG